GCAGGTTCTCAATTCGACTGTTCTTTTTTGTGTATATTGTATAGTTTGTGTGTTACCTCAGAACTTTTTCCTAGGCGAACCGATTTTGACGATTCTTTTATTTAAAAGCTGGTGTTTCTCTTGTGGTCCCATATAAATTTGATCAAGGTCTGAAATGTAGTTTTTAAGTTATCCTTAATAATTTATATTGAAGTCGGTTGTACAAATTTTTTAATTTTACCACTTGTTTATATTGAAGTCGGTTGTACATGTTTAGTTTTACCATTTGTTGTGTACATACATTAAATTATCGTGAATGTTTTGTGATGCCAATGGTAATACATATATTAATTTTCCTTAAATGTTTGTCTCACAAACTTAAATCACAGATTGCTCTTATAATCGTCTTCTGCGGAGAGAGTCATCCATATACAAGCCAAGTTTTTTCACAGACTTACTAAATGGAATAAGAATATTGTTTTATTAAGTAGGAGTAAGTAAGTTTGTCTGATTAACTTTAGCCAGCAGACTTGGACTACCCACTAAAATAGCTTGCCATTTCAATGGATTAACACAGCTACAGAACAACTGAACCATTCTTTAATGTTCCGTTTTGTAGATTCTCAACGTCGCTTTGTTGCAGATCAGCATACAAATGGTACGAGCTATTAATATTATAGGTGGTCAAGGTTATAAAATAATTTAAAATTAAAAAAATTATACAACCGACTTTAATATAAATGATTAAGAATAACTCAAAAACTATTGGTCAGACCTTGATAAAACTTATATGGGACCACATGTGAAGCACCTGCTTTCCAATAAAAAAAAGAATCATCGAAATTGGAAAAAACACACAAAAAATTATACAGTCGAATTGAGTACCGGCTCCTTTTTGAAGTCTGTAGAAAAGAGATAGTAGGGTTTGACCTTGCGTTGTGTTAGCTGTTACGTCATCCTAAAGCTGAAGTCATTTGAACCACGTGAACTGACTTGATGCCCGCGACGATAGGATGCAAACCAATCTAAAACTGGATGCGGTTAAGATGGGATAGAATGGAAAGAAGGATGTCGTAATCAACTGTGTTAAAAGTATTAGAAAAAGTTCATTTTTTTCATACTTTTTCTAATATTGTTGATAAAACTGATTAAAACAGTAGAAGTGCTGTGACTATGACGAAGCCCAGACTGATGTGTTCTCAGAAGATTATTATGATGATGAGATTTGCTTACGAACCCAGGCTTAAAATGTTTGTGAGGAAAGGCAGAATTGAAATAGGACGAAAATGGCTGGGAAGAATAGGAAGGAATAGGTTTGTTCTTTTTTTTTTATAGGATTGGGTGACAAACGAGCACACAGTCCACCCGATGGTAAGCGGCTACTGTGACCCATAGACATCTACATCTATCCTCAATAAAGATTCCAGATGCAGATGCGTTGTCACCCGTGAGAACCAAGACGGAATGCCTCTTTGCCAGCAAAAAGCGTCTCCGGTTCTCTACACCCACCATACGAAACACGGCAGTGTTAAGTTTTCTGTGAGAGCGTGGTCCTTCCCCGGTCGAGCCGACCCATTCGTGCTACAACCATACCACCAATATAGCTGCAGCATGGCTCTACTACGTAAAAAACACGTACACACGTACCACATAAGTAGATAAATATTTACTCATGTGTAGGTACTGTAGGAAGGTGGGCTAATATAGTGACTACTATTTGTTCGCTAATTTTGTCTCATTACTTTTTCTTTTTTTATATAACTGAAGTGACAAACGAACTTACAGTCCACCTAGTGGTAAGTGGCTACCGAAGGCCATAGACATCTGCAACAAACTTCAAACAAAGAAGGCTACAGATGCGTTGTTATCTCCGAGTACTAAGACGGAAAACCTCACAACCTGTAATTATACAGACTATATCCATCTCTCTCTCTCTCTCTCTCTCTCTCTCTCTCTCTCAGCAGTGTTTGCACTGCTGTGTTGTGGAGCAGTGGTACTGCGATACCACATGTCATTATTTCGTCAAAATTTTCCGCAAAGATTGTATTTGTTATAGTTTTCATTATCCACGTCCATTTCGTCATCAATTTTATCATTAGAAATATTTTTATTTTCGGTCTCTATGATGAGTTTGTGACATTTTACTTGCGTTTTCTTATCATTACATAATTTAACATATTTTTCTCCAAACATATTTGAACACCCTCTGGGAACTCATCCCCACGGAGAGTTCGTGAGTAATTGTTTTGAGAAATCACAAAATCCGTATTTATTTATCAGTACTTGCCTTTAGTAAGTTTCAGGTCAATCGCCCTGTAAAATAAGAAGTTTCATACAAACTGTAACACTATTTCAATCTCTTAACGGTGGAATTTTCCAAAATCCTTTCTTAGTGAATGCCTACGTCATAAATGCAACTACTGTCCAAACTTCAGATTTCTATTATAGTGATCGTAGAGAAGATTAATTGTTTCCCCATTACACAGCAAGAACTTTTTAGCTTTTTACCGTTTAAATAGTTTTTTTTTAGTCTGAGATTTGTATCTAGAAGTTTTCGAGTTTTAACTTTGATGATAAAATAAATACTTATATTAACACTTTACCACTATTATGAATTGGCCTTCGCTTGAGTATTAGTCGCATATGGTCGTACACAAAAATGCATTAAGAACGTATATTTACATGCCAAATCGATCCAGTATCTTTCAAAATTTGTTCCAAATCATTGCTGCTGATATTTACATTAATAATAACTTGCTGTTTAACAGAAAGTTGTAGGTTGAAGGTAAGTCGATACTTTTATTTTTAATTAAAGCTAAGACTGTTTTTGTTTCAGATTATTCAACAAACGGTATTTTAAAATAACCGGCTCCAGAAACTTCAAAAGATCCTTCGCTACGTTTTTTAAAATCACAACTACTGGGTTCCGTAATTTGTTTAAACGATTGCTTATACAGATGGCATATTATAGCGTTCCTTTTTAATCTAAAAAATTCAGTTCTTTTTTTTTGTCTGAAAATTAGTTTATTGCGAAAACAAAAAAAATTATGCTACCTCTTTAATTACGCCTAAAACAGTTACGCCCCAGTTGTGTACGTATCTACGCTAAATCGTTTCATAACGTTGATAGACCCCGTAGTAGTTATATATTATTTTTATTATAAAGAAAATAAAAGTTACAACAAAGTAGTCTTTGATTCAACGATTTACACTTTAAATTTTTTTTTTTATAGAATCGAGTGACAAACGAGCACACAGTCCACCTGATTGTAAGTGGTTGCTGTGGCCCATAGACATCAACATCTATCCTCGTTTGCAAATCAAAATGCAGATGCATTGTCACTCGTGAGGACTATGATGGAATGCCTCTTATTCAGTAAAAAGGGTCTCCGGTTCTCTACACTCACCATACGAAACACAGCAGTGTTAAACTGGTATTCTGTGAGAGCGTGGCCCTTCCCCAGTCGAGCTGACCCATTCGTGCTACAACTATACTACTAATATACATAACTGCAGCATGGCTCTACCACGTACAAAAATGTATTCTAAGAGGAGATCGTCAAATTTAAAACTGCACACACCTCTATTGCATTTTTGATTGGAGGTTTTGCCACATTTAGTATCTTTCTAATTATATCCATCTTTATAATATCTTAGCATTTTTACTATATTTGGTATGACAAGAGTAGGTAATAAAATATACCAAAAATACTAGAGAAGCGCTTGCAGTTTTAATTTAGACGACTCTACTATCCTCAAGATTCATCTAATGTCAATGTACGAGAAAATCTTCATTCATTCAAATCCAACGTTCAACGTCCGACTTGTATAATTTGGGATCTGATATATTTTTTAAACGGTTACCTGATTACTTTTCTGATGCATTCTATTAATTTACCAAAATTAATTAGCAAAACTATTTTTTTAAATATTATATTCACTAAAGAGTTTGGGACCATAATGGTTATGCCAATTCTATATTTCCCTTAACTATTTTATACCTACATATCGATGCCACCAAGCAAAAAACTGATCAATTAATGCAATCTGATGTTATTATCTCGTGGGTGCCGTAAGAGGCGACAGAGAAAAAATTAAACAGGAGAGGGGCAGCAGCATCTTCCTGATAACAAATCTATACCTATTCAGGTCATAAGTATTGTCACACAGTAAAGATTTTTCTTTTTTTAATGTTGGCCACAAAAAAGTTTATTGAATTCGAATTTCGAATTGTTCATGAAAATAAAACTGTATACTTTTTAGAATTTTACTCATTTTTAAATATAGAGTGGACGCTTAAAGAAGATCGTGTTGCAGTAGTTGCGTTGCATCGTTGCGGTTATGCGCCAATTCAAATTTTTGACATAGTTACTGAAAAATTTGAATATAACCAAAAGATTAGTTTATCGTACCATCAAACGATACATTGAAGACTCTAGTGTAGATGACAGGTCAAGAAGTAGTCGCCCTCGGTCTGTTAGGACTCCAGCAGTGATAAAAGCTGTGAAAAACACAACTTACCTAGTCGGACTATTTGTCCCAGGTAAACATACTCGTCAACAACTTCGAGCTTAGTGCTCCCAATAACTACCGGCATAGGTGTGACATGGATGTTATACATGATCTTTGTTTTGTCCATGTTTATCTTAAGATAGGCCGTTAGGAGATACTATTGAGGTCATTGAGCATAGTGCTTAGGTCCTCCAGCAATTCTGCCATAAGGACTATATCGTCGGCAAATTGAAGGTGAGTGATGTACCTACTCGCCATTGACGTTGATACCATATCCTTTCCAGTCCAGTAGCTTGAAAACGTCTTCCAATATGTGCTGATGATATTTTGTGACTCAGAGCACAGAGTCAAAAAATATTATCAGCACATATTTTAAAGTTTTTCTATATGTATTAATTTAATAAAAGCTACTTCTATGAATTCCTGCTGCTTTGGTTTATTTTAATTATCTCATTAGTTTGTGAAACATTTATTCCAGTTTCTTGCATTTTTATAAACAAATTTTAACGATGGTTAGAGAAATTAGTATCGAAGAAGTTAGAAAACACCGCGATAGTAAAAGCGTTTGGATAATTATACATAATGATGTTTACGATGTAACAAATTTTTTGGAAGAGCACCCTGGTGGTGAAGACTCACTTCTAGGAGTAGCTGGACAAGATGGCACTCAAAGTTTTGAAGATGTTGGTCACAGTGCTGATGCTAGGGATTTACTAAAGAAATATAAGATTGGTACCTTGCCTCCAGGTGAAATAAGAAATAAGGTGGCTGATCCTGATAATAGTTGTTGTTTACACACATCGAAGTGATAGAATATGGAAAAGGAAAAACATGGAGAACATATGATGGATCCTCAAGAAGCCGATCAAGGTCGCCCAAACCTGAGCGTAATCTTCCATGTTCACCGAGACCAGAAAAAAGGATACAGAGGATTGTAGTTCCACGGGAGGGGGGGAGTTGAACACTTCCGTACGACAGGACACAAAGGATGTCGCCTTCACATCCAAGAAGGGGCAGTTGAACACGTCCGTGCGACAGGACACAAAGCAGGTCGCCTTCACCGCCAAGAAGTTCGAAATTGAAATGGGCAATCCTGGCTTTAGCAGGCGCCATCATCGTTGGTGTAGTTTTGCGCAAGTACCTGCGTTAACTGAAGATTGATGGTTCTCACCAGTGCAGGCTAGTATAAGTCGGTTACCGTACCAATTGTTGATGGATATCTAGATTTTTTTTCTTAGAATTAGCTTTTTTAAAAAGAAACCCTTGATGATGTGATTTCAACAATATGCAATGGCCTGGAAAATTCTGGCATTTTATAGTATATTTTTTAATATTGTAAATGTACAGTTACTGGTGTGTAAAACATCACATCCCACTTGACACCATTAATATACCTAAGTCTTAGATTAATAATAGGTCTTCGCGCGCTCAGACTACATACCGCCGGCGCTCTTGTAAAATGCGGCAACAAATACTACGCCGCAATCGGCGTACCCGAGCCAGTCGAATATTTTATTAAATTTTGATCATAATCCGAAGTAAAATACCAGTTTGCGTAGTGAAACTGTAAAAATAATACTACAAGAAATAAGAAAGACACTGGGATCACATACTATCAGTAAGTATCATACAATTTCGAAATTTCAACATAAAATAACACGAGCCATAAATAAGTTACAAAATATGAAAGATGCCATTCAGTGTTGCCGCGTATACAAAAATAAAGTTCCCCGTGGCTAAGATTTTTATATGTGAATTTATTGTTACTATATTTTATAATATAATATATTTAACTTATTATAATATAACCTAATTCTATATTATTTAATGTTTATTTTTGTAGTATTGCTCAAATGACCTAATACGAGTACGTGGTGGAGCCATGCTGCAGCTATATTAGTGGTGTAGTTGTAGCACGAATGGGTCGGCTCGACCGGGGAAGGACCACGCTCTCACAGAATACCAGCGTAAAATGGCAGTTTGACACTGCTGTGTTTTGTATGGTGAGTGTAGAGAACCGGAGACCCATTTTACTGGAAAAGAGGCATTCCATCTTAGTCCTCACGGGTAACGACGCATCTGCATTTTGATTCTATATTGAGGATACATGTAGTTGTCTATAGGTCACAGCACCACTTACCATCAGGTGGACTGTGTGCTCGTTTGTTACCCTTATTCTATAAAAAAATTATATGTTGTTTTATTAATTGTTATTTTTATTATTAAAACATTATTTCCGTTTATTAGGGTTCCGTGCCCAAAGAGTGTCAACGGGAATTAAGTTTCCACTATCGTTCCGTCTGTCTGTCAGCAGGCTGTATTTTATGAACCGTAATATGAAGATACTTGAAATTTTCACAGAATGTGTATTGGCTATTATTGCTATAACAACATATAATAAAAATAAAATTTTAGTTACACCATATAATATATAACTATTTTTTTTAATAATTTGTGAATATTAGTCAGACATTTAAATATAAAAATTAAACTGATAAAAATGAGGCCTTATCATTTATATGCCATTTATTCAGAAGAAAAGCCTATACATAATATACATAAATATATTGCTACATTCGCTATTAATAAATTATTCATTTTTAAGTATTTCTGGTCTACATTCATAACTATGAACTTAACTACTAAGCCATAGCATAAAATAATTTTTCTCGTTAATCGGGTAATAGTTAAGCTGCTGGCATATACAATTTTTCACGCACACTAGCATCCTTGCAATTGTCTTATACACACTAGAATATTGAGTTGCCGCATTCACGAAGCTGTTTCTTTCAGGTGGCGCGGTATCTAGTCAGAGCGCGCGATGACCTATCATTAATCTATGACTTAAGTGTTATTATAGTGACTTTAAACTATAAAACTTCACTGCAATATGTCGCTTCACTATCTCAATATCGTCAATGTGCTTAGGCATTTATGAGAGTAAAAAAATTCGCACATGTGCCATGAAGTGAGACGAATTTAAAAAAATTTTGCTTATTATATCGTCATTGTCATTTCGCTAATTGTATCTCAGTTCTTAGCGATATTATCGTCCTTTCAGCCCATCACAAGACCTGAAGATATGCCGCCTTCATAGATCGCCACAAAACATTGCTGAGTTCTACACCACCTGATGAGTCACCTACATTCATGTCCTGCAGTTTCATCAGGTTGTCACTCCATCGGAGGTCGCCCAACAATACGTTTGCCGTTACGAGGATCACTCTAGGACCTTTTTTCACCATTGATTATCAGTTTTCATCATATCAGTATCATTTTAGCTTCCTGATCCGTCTCTGCGACATTTTGCAGTAAAAAATGAAAAAATTTGAGAAAAAGATAAGTCGAGTGGAACTAGCTAATTCATTTTCTAATTTTTCAAACTACGTACACATTTTCGAGCAATTCTACTCATTGACATATTATTGCAGTGAATTTTTTTTACATTTATTTTTGACCATGTGATATAATTATATTTTGATGTATTTACTTATTTATTTAAATGAATTTATATTTGTTATTTAATGTCTAATATTACCTGTCTATATACTCAGTGTTGTGACAATAAAGTTCTTACTAACTACCGGCATAGGTGTTTATCAGCTATGACAAACACCTATGCCGGTAGTTGTTGGGAGCACTAAGCTCGAAGTTGTTGACGAATATGTTAACTTGGGACAAATAGTCCGACTAGGTAAGTCCAACTTCGACCGAGAGGTCAATCAACGGATTCAACTCGGCTAGGCAGCGTTCGGGAGATTACGACATATCTTCTCGTTAGACATACCTCACAACTAGATTGTTCAACCAGTGCGTGTTACTAGTGATGACCTATGGATCTGAGATGTGGTCCTTCACTGCTGGCCGTACGAGGAAGCTCAGTCTCTCGGCGAACTGTGGAAAGGGCAATGCTCGGCGTTTCTCTGCGTGATAGACTAAAAAACGAGGATATCCGCAGTAGAACCAGAGTAAACGACATAGCCCAAAGAATTAGCATGCTGAAGTGGCAATGGGCCGGCCATATAGCTCGAAGAACCGACAACCGATGGGGAAGAAAGGTTCTCGAGTGGCTGCCTCGTACCGGCAGGCGAAGTGCAGGGTGTCCCCCCACTAGATGGAGTGACGACCTGGTAAGATATGCAGGGAGTCGATGGATGCAGGTGGCTCAGGATCGTGCTTTGTGGCATTCCTTGGGGGAGGCCTATGTTCAGCAGTGGACTTATGAAAGGCTGTAATGATGATGATGATGATATAATATACGATCGAAAATTATAGCGATATCTTCATTTAATATAAAGTTATTAAAATTTTAAGAAACAACGTTTAGTATATTATCTACGTAAACGAGATGGTTATACCGTCTTCCATCGGTAGCTATGCGCTTTTCGGCATTTATCATAGGCATATACCCAGCTAAAACTAGTTTCCACCCGGTTCACACGTAACGCTACTGTTCTGTACCATCCACCATAATATGCCACCAATATATGCACACGTGTAGAGTCAGAATTCAAGTACTTCCCATAGACGCGTTATCCCCATAAATCTATTTTGCCCATTTATGAATGATATGTATTAAGTAGATTTTTTTTATAGGATAAGGGTGACAAACGAGCACACAGTACACCTGTTGGTAAGTGGTTTCTGTGGCACATAGACATCTACATTCATCCTCAACTACGAATCAAAATGCAGATGCGTTGTCACCCGTGAGGATTAAGACAGGATGCCTCGTGTCCAGTAAATGAGGTCTCCGGCTCTCTACACTCACCATACTTTCGTACACAGCAGCGTTAAGTTGCTATTTACTCTGGTATTCTGTGAGAGCGTGGTACTTCCCCGGTCGAGGCGAGGCGACCAATTCGTGCTACAACTATATTACTGCTATAGCTGCAGCATGGTTCTACCACGTATAAAAGATTAACTTTGACCTTAAAATTATGTAAAATTACATTAGGGACTACAATTTGGAAAGGTATTCAATTCCAAAGTTATATGTACGTATGTGAATTCGCCATACTTAAATGCTGAAGCTATTTTTTATAGCATCTCCATTCAAGAATAATCTAGTAACCTCTTTTGTAAGACTTCAAATCGCCTTGTATTTTTAGAAACCTACTTTTATTTGCTTCACATCATCAATTGAAATTGTATTTAAATGCAATAGTTTTTTAATTTCATTTCTTATTACGGGTGCAAATAATATACCTATTTCACATTGACCTTCACATTCTATTTATTTTGCTAAATATACGTAATATCACGAAAGAATTTACCTAATATTATACTTCTAATTTATTGAGTTTTATTTTGTGAGCATTAAAATGATTATAAAACATATCAAGTCGAAATAAAATTTGTAGTTGTAGGTCCTACAGTAACATATAAGTATTAACTCCACAGAATCAGTACCTACCTAATTCATTTATGGGGCAATGTATACGCTCTTACAACAAAATCCCAGAACATATTCAAAGTTTGACAATAAACAAGTTTAAAAGTTTTATTAAAGCAAAACTGTACAAAAAGGGTTATTATAATATCAAGGAATACTTGAATGAAAATAACCCCTGGGAATAAGGTGATCGCCACCATGCTGGTTCTATGAAAAATCATTTAAAAATTGTATAAATGAAATTATTGACAAATGAAATTGTTTGAAAAAAAAGTCCCGCTGGGTTTCTTGCTGGTTCTTCCCAGGACAGGTATTTTCCGAACCAGTGGTAAATAAAAAATGACTTTCAATAAGAATTATGTAATAATCAATATTGAATAAAAATTATTCTATTCTATTCTATACTAAACACAC